AAGAGACATTTAGAAATACACATTGACAGCTTTAACATTTTTTGTTGTATTAACAATGGATTTTGTCAGACTGTACGTAAATCTATTCAGGATTCATGGTTTCTTGTGGTTTCTTTAGTCTCCACGTCTCAAAGGGAGCCAGAGCCTTCAGCTACTAAGCCCCTCTTCTGTGGAACCAGCCTGGAGTCCTTCGTGGTTGCGCCTACTGCCATGGTCATGCTTGACGCCCCCTGCTAATATTCTTATTCTTATTATTCTGATTATTATTATTGCTGTGATCATTCCTGTCATCATCATAATAATTGTTAGTCATATTTCTTCCATTATATTTGTTATTGTTACTAGCGTTGTTGCTGCATTCAGGGGTAAGGTTCTGTGAACATAAAGCAGACTATATGATGTTGTGTTATTCCATGTTTAATTTTACAGGCTTACAGTACAATATTTTATTTTCATGTATGTTCATCCTCATGTTTCACATTCTGGCTGTCTCACCCTAGTTAGGAGAGGTGTTATTCAATGTGCCATGAGCTAAGCACAAGACCAAGGCTTTCTCAGGGAGAGTTGGGCATCAGATGTGTTACGACTACTGTTTATCAGACGTCACCAATAGACATCCTTGGGAAAGAGGCATATAATAGAGTGATTTTCTTTGTTCAAGTCAGTTGTATCCTGGGACAACTCGGTTTGTGTGATGCAAATAAATCCTGTACATTTGTGAATAGTGAAAACTGTCATTTCTCTTTGCTTTCTATGAGTCTGTGTCACCATTCTGGGTACCTTCAGTGGGAGTTTGTGGTCTCTCACTATAGTCAGATAGCAGATAGACATCAGTTGAGGTGCATTGAGACAAGAAAAATTAAACCACAACACTGTGCATCTCTGGCTCTTTCTCCACCTCCCCAGTTCAACCAGGAAGACTATTCTTTTGCATATAGGCTTAATTTATCTTTCCCTCCTGCATTGTTGGCCGTAATCATTTTGCTGCTGTCTTTTTAAATATGATTCTTTCTCTCTGCCTTCAGTTCATTCCTGCTGCTTTTAAACGAACCAGCCACCACTGTTGCACTCACTGTTTGGCCCCTCAATCCCAAAAATCTCCTCATAGAATCTAAGTGCCGAAGACCAGTGTTGGGAGTAACGGCGTTTAAGTATAACGGCGTTACTAACGGCGTTATTTTTTCATTAACGGAGTAATCTAATTTATTACTTTTCCCATCGTTGCAACGCCGTTACCGTTACTGAGAATGTAAAGTGGCGCGTTACTTGCGTTACTACAATGTGGTTGAATGAAGCGCAGCAGTGTCAGGCTTTCTGACAGCCACACATCAGCTGCGGGAGAGAGCAGCTGTCTCACTGCACGCTGTCTCACTATTCAATTCAATTCAATTCAATTCAATTTTATTTGTGTAGCGCCAATTCATAACAGAAGTTATCTCAGGACACTTTTCAAATAGAGCAGGTCTAGACCGAACTCTTTAAAACATTAATTACAGACACCCAACAGTAACACCATGAGCAAGCACTTGGTGACAAGGGCAAGGAAAAACTGCCTGTTAAAAGGCAGAAACCTAGGACAGATCCTCCGGCTCTAGGTGGGTGGTCGTCTGTCTCGACCAGTTGGGGGGTGAGAGAGAGAGAGAGAGAGAGAGAGAGAGAGAGAGCGAGAGACAGACAGACAGGTGCACAGCAACAACAGTATTGGCAATGGCAATGTAGCAGGACCATGGCAGGAGGCTCCACCAGGATCGACAAGAACCTGCGAGACGAGAAAGCACAAGAACTCCGGGGAAGAAGTGAAGTTAGTAACATGCATTAATGGGACATGAATGAGTGAAGAAAGAGAGAGGAAGAGAGGAGCTCAGTGCACCATGGGAAATCCCCCGATAGTCTAGGCCTATAGCAGCATAACGAAGGGATGGTTCAGGACTCACCTGATCCAGTCCTAACTATAAGCATCATCAAAGAGGAATGTCTTAAGCCTACTCTTGAATGTGGTGAGGGTGTCTGCCTCCCGAACCACAACTGAAAGCTGGTTCCACAGGAGAGGAGCTTGGTAACTGAAGGCTCTGGCTCCTGTTCTACTTTTAGAGACTATAGGAACCACAAGTAGCCCAGCATTCAGAGAACGTAGTGTTCTAGAGGGGTAATAGGGTACTATAAGCTCTTTAAGATATGAAGGGGCCTGACCATGAAGAGCTTTATAGGTGAGGAGGAGGATTTTAAATTCTATTCTACATTTTACAGGGAGCCAATGCAGAGAAGCTAGTACAGGAGAGATGTGATCTCTTTTTCTAGTTCCTGTCAGTACTCGTGCTGCAGCGTTCTGAATTAATTGGAGCGTTTTAATGGACTTATTGGGGCAGCCTGATAATAAAGAGATGCAGTAATCCAGCCTTGAAGTAACAAATGCATGGATTAGTTTTTCTGCATCTGTCTGTGATAGTATGTGTCTAATTTTTCTAATATTACGTAAATGAAAGAAGGCAGTCCTAGAGGTCTGCTTTATGTGGGAGTTAAATGACAAATCCTGATCAAAGATAACTCCAAGATTCCTGACAGTGGTGCTAGAGGCCAAGTTAATGCCATCTAGAGTAACTATATCTTTAGACAGTGAGTCTCTAAGGTTTTTGGGGCCAAGAACAAGAATTTCGTTTTTTTCTGAGTTTAACATCCGAAAATTGCAGGTCATCCAGGACTTTATGTCCTTAAGACATGTTTGTAATTTAGATTATTGATTAATTTCATTGGGCTTGATTGATAGATATAACTGCGTATCATCTGCATAACAGTGAAAGTTAATGGAGTGATTCCTAATAATGTTGCCTAAAGGGAGCATATATAAAGTAAATAGTATTGGTCCAAGTACAGAACCTTGTGGAATTCCATGACTAACTGTAGTATTTATTGAAGATTCATCGTTAACATGTACAAACTGCGAGCGATCTGATAAATATGACTTTAACCAGCTTAGTGCGGTTCCTTTAATGCCAATTTGATGCTCAAGTCTCTGTAAAAGAATATTATGGTCAATGGTGTCAAATGCAGCACTAAGATCAAATAATACAAGTACAGAGACAAGTCCATTGTCAGAAGCAGTCAGAAGGTCATTATTAACTTTAACCAGAGCTGTCTCTGATGAACTCTAAATCCTCAAATAAACTATTGTTATGTAGAAAGTCACACAACTCTTTGGCGACTACTTTCTCCAGAATGTTAGAGAGGAAGGGGAGGTTAGAAATCGGTCTATAGTTGGCTAAAACCCCTGGGTCAAGAGTGGACTTTTTAAGAAGGGGTTTAATTACAGCTACTTTAAAGGACTGTGGTACATATCCTGATAATAAAGAAAGATTAATCATATCCAGTAAAGAAGTGCCAATTAAGGGAACAACTTCTTTAAGCAGCCTAGTTGGGATCGGGTCTAATAGACAGGTTGATGGCTTCGATGAAGAAATGATTGAAGTTAACTGATGAAGATCGATAGCAGAAAAACAGTCTAAATATATATCTAAGTTTACATTGACAGAAGTCCCTGAACTTGGAGAGCCACTGATAACTGTTGATGGCAGTTGGTGATTAATTTTTTCTCTAATAGTAATAATTTTATTATAGAAGCTCATGAAGTCATTGCTACTTAAGTTTATGGGGATATGTGGCTCGATAGAGCTGTGACTCTCTGTCAGCCTGGCTACAGTGCTGAAGAGGAACCTAGGGTTGTTCTTATTTTCTTCTATTAGTGCTGAGTAATAGGCTCCTCTGGCATTACGGAGGGCCTTTCTATAGGTTTTAAGATTATCATGCCAATTTGAGCGATATTCTGATAATTTGGTAGAGCGCCATTTCCTTTCAGATTTCCTCGCTATTTGCTTTAACTGGCGGGTTTGGTGGTTATACCAAGGTGCTAGTCTCCTACGTTTTAATAATTTCCTTTTTATAGGAGCGATAGAGTCTAATGTTGATCGTAGTGAGCCTGTAGCACTATCGACAAGATTATCAATTTCAGAGGGACTAAAGTCGTTATAGGATTCTGTTAAATTCAGACATGGCATTGAATTAAACACTGAAGGAATCTCCTCCTTAAATTTAGCTACAGCACTGTCAGATAGCCATCTGCTGTAGGAAGTTTTGCCTAATGGCTTATAATCTAATAGTATGAATTCAAAAGTTATTAAATAATGGTCAGATAGGAAAGGATTATGTGGGAACACTATTAAATGTTCAATATCAATGCCATATGATAGAACAAGGTCAAGAGTGTGATTAAAACAATGAGTTGGTTTATTTACACTCTGACAGAAGCCAATTGAGTCTATTAATGATATAAATGCGTTACTAAGGCTGTCATTGTCAACATCCACATGAATATTAAAATCACCTACAATAATTACTTTATCTGATTTAAGGACTAAACTTGATAGAAACTCTGAGAATTCAGATATAAAATCAGAGTCGGTCCGAGCGCGGTACACTATAACAAATAGAACTGGTGCGTGTTTTCCAGTTTGGGTGAGAAAGACTAAGAACAAGGCTTTCAAATGAATTATAATTTAGTTTAGGTTTAGGGTCCATTAAAACACTCGAATCATATATGTCTGCCACTCCACCTCCTCGGCCTGTGCCTCGAGGAATGTGAGTATTAATATGACTGGGGGGGTGGATTCATTTAGGCCAACATACTCCTCGTGGGACAACCAGGTCTCAGTAAGACAAAGTAAATCAATTTCATAATCTGATATTAATTCATTCACTAAAACAGCTTTAGAGGACAGAGACCTGATATTTAACAGCCCACATTTCATTCTCTTATTTTGTGATACTGAGGAGTTGGTTTTAATTTTTATTAGATTTTTATGTTGAACTCCTCTTGTTTTTATTTCTTTAAATAATTTAGGTGGTCGGGGGACAGACACAGTCTCTATGGGGTTTTGGGTGGGTGACTGTTCTAAAGAAAGAGCAGAGAAGTGTGTAAGACAGCAGCTCTTCTTCCTGGTCCTAACTCTGGACTGTCAGGTTTTAGAGATAAACTTCGCCATATTTCTAGATAAGAGAGCCGCTCCATCCAAAGTGGGATGGATGCCGTCTCTCCTAATCAGACCAGGTTTTCCCCAAAAAGGCTTCCAAAGCCCACATCGTTTTCTGGACCCCACCTCGACAGCCAGCGGTGGAATGACGACATGCGGCTATACATGTCATCGCTGGTCACACTGGGGAGGGGTCCAGAGAAAACTACGGAGTCCGACATAGTTTTAGCATAATTACACACCGACTCCACATTAACTTTAGTGACCTCCGATTGGCGTAAACGGATGTCGTTACCGCCGACGTGGATAACAATCTTACTGTATTTACGTTTATCTTTAGCCAGCAGTTTTAAATATGATTCAATGTCGCCGCTCTGGCCCCAGGGAAACATTTAACTATGGAGCTGTCAATTACCAGAGTTGGTTCCTCAGCGGGTGTGTCGCTGAGTGGGGACAATGTATTAGAAACATGAATGGGTTGGTGGTGACCTGTGGGCTTCGGCGTTTTAGTCTTCCTTCGCTCAGTCACCCAGCCTCCCTGTCTGCCCGGCTGCTCGGGAACTACCGGAGGAACTACCGGAGGAACTACCGGAGGAACTACTGGGGGCTGACTAACTATAGCGGCTAAAGATATCTCCGTGCTGCGGTACCGTTCCTCTAACTCACTAAGCCTCGCCTCCAGCGCAGTAAATAAACTACATTTAATACAGATACCATTATCTTTAAAGGAGGCAGAGGAATAACTAAACATCTGACACACTGAGCAGGACAGAGGAGAGGGAGAAGCCATAGCTAACTGCTAATGCTAATGAAGCGATGAAGTGAAAAGTCGCTAAAAGAAGGAGAAACTCCGAGTGCTTAGGTAGAACTAATCTACGTTTAAATGTTAAGCGGGAAAATAACCGCTGTAACGAGTAAAACTAATTTATATTTAGCGTTCACTGACAGAGCTACAGCACCAAACAGTGTACAGAGCAGGAAGGAAACCGGAAATGAGTCAGTACGCTTGCCGTAGCACGTCCTCACTACTACTGTAAACACAAGACAGAGACAATGGCGACGAGCCAGGGAAATCCAAAGGTAGCGTTTACAAACTGAAAGTACCGACACTACTTCTCGCTTACTGAAGTTAAAGGCAATAATGTTTATGTAACGTGTGAATTTTATTTTCAATATTTATTTTTTATATACTTTTATTTCTATGCATATGACCGACTGCAATCTATTGAGTTCAAATAAATCCCAAATGTTCTAAAATACTGTATATAGTGTTTTTATTCTTCATTCAGTTATTATAAACATCTTTGACGTTATAGAAGATGTCATAGAATGTAATAGCGTCATACAACATACAATATAACGTCACAGTTACTTTGCTGAGTAACTAATTACTTTTATGATGTGGTAACTGAGTTACTAACTCAATTACTTTTTGGGAGAAGTAATTTGTAACTATAACTAATTACTTTTTTAAAGTAATACTGCCGAAGACTTTCTGTTGACTAAAAGCTTAAACTGAATTTGTTACTTGCAGTTTTGTTTTAATAACTGAAATATATAAATTGATGTGACAGAAACTGTGTTGACATGATAGCACTTCAAAGCAAACATTATTTTTCCACCCATTCTATTCTAATGAAGGCCTAACAATGTGCTGAATGGTAAAGGTACTTATGTTTTTCTTAGTGCAGCTTTGGGTTTGAGGTTTTAGAGCCATTGCCTTTACCAAGCTACATTTGTACAAACATTTTGTTTCTGTATTGTTATTGTATAGTTAGATGCAAGATTTTATAAAATAGAAGCCACACCCACTCAACAAGGGTGTTTTAAACTATTTTAAACAATCAAACATCAAATAAACATGTCTTTTAAGATGTATGTGTTTACTGACATTTATAGATTTTACTATACACATCTGGTTTCTTGAATATCAAAGACTGGAATATTTTATGTTGTAAAAATACCAAACAATTGTTGAGGAATTTCTGTATTTCAAAAACTCATTCCTCGCGCGTTCGTTTAATGAAGCAATAGGAGAAGATTTAGTTTACTCAATAATCAGCTTTATTCTTAACACCAGTAGAATGTGCAAAGTTTACAGAGCTCTGGGTTCAACAACGATTAACCTGACATGCACAAGGTTTGCCAGTTCACGAAGTCTGAGCAACCTCTTGTTTCTAACATCAGTTCTTATATTTTTGCAGATAACACACATAGCACCAGATGGTAGAATCTCCACCCCTCGTCCACTTGGTATCTCGACTCCAAGGATGGTGTTGTTGGGGTAGCCACAACCTGGAACTGGAAGGAGTCCGTCTGGCTCCATCATTGTTTTGTCTGATACTGACCTCGGAGGTCGTGTTTACCGCTATCTCTCCAAAAGAATGTCATGTTATATCTGCAACTACCCACACTCTTCTCCCTTATACTGTGCCTGCTATTCATATTCATTAGTAACTTATAATTCTATAACACATCATACAAACATCTAATATTCATTACTTTATTTCTGTTATTAGTATTCCCTTAACAGCCCTTTATCAATGTAAGCATAATCAATGTAAGCAGACATATTTCTATTCTAGTTAATAATCATACAGGTAAAAATATATAGAGTATAAATCACAGAATATCGCAACACTATGGACACTTTGACTTGTGACCTTTTGACAAATTTATGTTGTCGGACAAATGTGCTGCTTTCCCCTCCTCTCTTTCAGCACTTTCCTGTAAAATATATGTGTTCAACCATTCAGGATGTACAAAATATCCTTGTCATGCCTTCTACTTCTTCTGGGTTTATGAAAAGACACCTAAAACACCACTCTGTTTAACCACAGTAATGATGTGGTCCTAAGGGAATGTGGAAATCAAGACTGAGGTTTTATACACTCCAGGGATAATGTCCCCCTCTGCCGGAGAGCTAAAACTCACATGGAGAAATAAGCTGTGCACTCTCGTCGTCGCCAAGTGCTTGCTCGTGGTGGGGACTGTTGGGGACTGTTGGGTCTCTGTAAATACTTTTATAAGGAGTATGGTCTAGACCTACTCTAATTTGAAAAGTGTCCCGAGATAACTTCTGTTATGAATTGTTACGTCACTGTGAGGGCCATTCCAAAACCTTCAGCTGGTGACGCTTTCAAGTCCATGATTCATTTAAAGATATTTTTAGGATCCTTAGGTAGAAGCGTTTTTCTTTCAGCTTCAGGTTCCCCTCCCTTTTTTTTCCTTTTTTTTTAACAGATGGTGTGATTGCTTCCAGAACCGAAGACTCAGAGAACACCCAAGTATGAGAAATCCCTACCATAAAAACAGAATGAACAGCACTACGACATAAAATTATGCCTTTTTTTTTTTATCTTAAACAGCTTTAAATACCTTATGGCAAGCTACCCATACAGTTAACAAAGAAACCTTGAGTTGAAAGGTGCTCTGTGCTTCACAGTTTCACTTAAGGTGCCAAGTGACATTACATCACAGTGGGCGAGGGCGGTGTGGGCAGAGTCTGATGGCCTGGGGGAAGAAACTGTTAGAGTATTTCTGTTAGTGTTGGGTGATACCGCAAGAATTGGTATTGCTCCAATACTGATCGAGTACAGCCTGTTTATGAACTAAACAATTTGCCGTCGTTTCATTTGTAACCTGAAAATAAAGCTACACAGCACTCCTCTTTCTCTCCGCCATTCTTCTGCCCCGTCTCTTATCTGTGTGTGTGTGTGTGTGTGTGTGTGTGTGTGTGTGTGTGTGTGTGTGTGACTCTTGGCCGGCAGACCTGCTTGCTTGTTTACCTGCGTTAAGTGACATTAAAGCACAAGAGGGGGGAGGAGGAGCAGAGTGTGCCTGGCTGTGCTCCGCGCTGTGACAGGAGCGGCACTCAAAAGCAGCGGCACTTAGAGACAGACAGCCAGGTCGCCTCCGCAGCAGTGCAGACAGGATGGGAACTAAAACTAAAGTATCGATCTCATTACACTGGTGTCGATTAATATCAATACCAACGTTGGCTCGATATATCGATATTTTGGATCGATCCACCCACCACTACTTTTTGTCCTTGCGTTCACACTCCTGTAACGCCTGCCTGACTTAACCAGTGCTGTCTCTATGCTGTGATGAAAGAACACACACAGGGAAAGGACATTTTTCAGACTTATTGAGAAAACCCAGCTCCCAGTATACAAATTGGTGTCAATCACCACGGACGATGGTTGGCCACTTGAATGGAATTATTGCCAAGTGCAGGGAGGATGATGCTTGCCCCGACTTCCTTAATTACCACTGCATAATACACCAAGTGTTTTTTTTTTAAGTATATTTTTTTGGCTTTATTATAGTGACAGCTGAAGACAGACAGGAAGGGGGGGCAGAGAGAGGGGATGACATGCAGCAAAGGGCCGCAGGTCGGATTCGAATCCTGGGCCGCTGCAGCAAGGACTCAGCCTCGGCACATGAGTCGCCAGCTCTACCCACTGAGCTAACCGGACGCCCTCACCAACAAGTGTTACGTGCAAAAATGCCAAACATGAAAGAGATAGCGGAGGTGGCAATAAAGATCACCTTTTCTATTCAAGCTAGATCATGCTAGTCGCTACATTTATTACAGGAAGATGTTGACGTTGATTCACTTGCACCAACAATTGCACTGTTGTTTAGCCTCACTCATTTATGTGAGTCAGTCCAATTACTGTTCCACCATGATTGATGATCATTTGGAAGTCTGCTTGAGGCCGGCTACTGTGTGGACTGTGCCACCCTGGCTAATTCCATTCAGTGCAAATCATCAGAGTAAGGTGATGACCAAGAATGGAGTTGTATTGTGCCATACGAGTTCATGCACTTATGCAAGGTACATCAACATATATTGCATATATAAGGTATATTCAGTATATATATATATAAAAATAAATATATGTTTAGCATTTGTAATGTAGGTAGATCATTTTGACTTGGTCATGTTAAAAGTAGCTTGCAAGCCGAAAAAGTGTGGGCACCCCTGCCCTACACCATACGTTAAAAAAATGAATAGTGAAGGACTTCATTGTGTAACATTTAGGAGGATTCGTTGACAGAAAATGAATATTCTTAAGCATGTTTTAATTAATGTATAATAACCTGAGTATTGGAATAATTATATTTCTGTTACCTTAGAATGAGTCTTTTACATCTTCCATGGAGTCTTCCATGTTGAACCACCATGTTTCTACAGCAGTCCAGAAGGGACAAACCAAACGCTGACTATAGGTAGTTTCTCCTTCACGCTTGGAAGGGGAGAGTGAAGTAAGCGAGTTGCGACCTGCAATTACACCTGTAGATGTCAGTAAATCCTACACACTTGACTCTTAATATTTTGTAGTACTTTTCACTGTAAAATAATTATTTGCTGCCCGTGCAATGATGTTGAGAATGGTTTGTACTGTTTGTAATATTTTGTTAAAATAAAGGAGCTTTCTTTCTCTGATGTACTGCCTATATAGAGTATGTTTTACTGTAATTTAGCCTCATGTTGACTTCAGTAATCCAGTGTTGATGTTGTAAGCAGAGGTAAGTTGATCGTCGATTCTCTTATGTTTACCCAGTATTAGAACAAAAATAATTTCAGAGCAATAAAAACACAGTGAGGCGTTACTGCTTCAGGGGTCATGTCAGTCTGTGATTGACACTCTATGTTTTCATCATAAATTTCACCAGTCTGTGCTTGTGTACTTTCCTGTTGTCAGGATAACTGTGTGGGCTGGAATATCCTGACATCTTGAGTCATGTTTTCTCTTATTCTGTTTATGGGCAGGGGCGGGTCCAGAATAGTTTCTGGTGGGGGGCACAGGGGGTAACAACAATTAATCTGGGGGGGCCGCCCAAAAGTAACAAAAATGAAAGCTGCCACTGATCGCCCACTTCAATATGGGCGATCATTTCAATTTATATTGTACAGTTACACACTGCTTGTTTTCATCTTGCTTTTCTTGGCCACATTAAATCTGCTGGGTGTACTAAAGCATTTCCCTAATACCTGCATTTTCACCTGGAGGTCCGTGAGGGCAGTTATGGCCCTGGAAGTTTTGGCCTGTGTTAGCTGCCTGGCTGCATTCAGCTTGACTACTCTCACACTCCTGGTGGTCACCTGCACTCTCCCTGCTAATTTTCTTCTTTGTGAAGAAATTGGAGATATCTCCCTGCCTCCGTTTCATACTGTAGTCTACATTCAAAACGTGTCCACAAACACAATGAATAGCAACATGTTATTTGTACTGCACCAACATCACAGTGGCAACAATGATATGATACTCTGTTGTTGACTGTTAATTCATATCACAAAACGCGAAACATTAGTAATTGCTAATGTTACTGAAACAGTGGAGAGATGTTTACGTTTATCCAGATGGAGAGCTAACTAAAGTAAAACACACAAGAATAGTTTCCCATGCAAATTGAACCAAATTAGACCCAAATGGAACAGAAGTTGGCAAAACATTGTTGTGACAGTCTTAAAGAACCTGTAGAGTTCTGTTCTTACCTTAACTCGGTGCACCTAGGAGCATCACGTTGCAAAAAAGTCTGTGACTGATGAAGTTACGCGAGTTCATTAGCGCAGCCAGGGAGCCACTTCCTTTCTGTTTTCCAAAATAAAAGCCTTCATGAGTTCTTAACACAGTCCAGTCATACAAGGTTTTGGCTTTGCTTCCGTTTTACATGCAGCGTCGGTAAAGAGCTTTAGCGCAATGATTGACATTACCCCGAGTCAATGACCATTGGGGGGGCACAAGGGGTGGCCAATCAGATTACGGGGGGCGGATGCCCCCCTGTGCCACCATGGAAGCCCCGCCACTGTTTATAGGCATAACACACTTGATTATTATAACACCTGTTCCTCACTATAGCTGCTGTCTACACTGCATACGTTCATAACTCTTTTGGCAGCTCACTCTCTATTAGCATACACCTAGCCATGTCAAACAGGGTGCACCAATTTTGCTCAGCTGCGCCATTTTATTGCGGTTAGTATGGAGCTACAGTGTCTTGTTTAATCCCATTTTTGCTGAGTAGTGCCTGGTAATTCTTCCCAATGAATTCTGCACTATTGTCAGACCTCATACATTAAACCTTTCCGTATGGGGCTGTCTTTGATAGTTACAGATATTTAGTTGAATATTGGTTAATAGTAGACATTTATAGTTAGCTGAAAATTAAAATAATTACAGCTCTTAACACAACGACTAATGTATTAGATTTATCTAGCAGATATATATGTATCACATAATGTTAGATACAGAAGGAAATTACCAATATAGACCAGGGTGGGCCAAGGCAGACACACAGACCACCCAAAAACATTTTCCTGAGTTGTCCTAAAACAGTAAATTAATCTAACCACAACTGATGAGTCACCTTAAAAGACCAGCATAACAGAAAGCATACAGACAGCAGAGGCCACACAAAATTTGGCAAAGCTGGTACATTTTTCAAACAACCTATTATTAGAAATATATTTAAACTCACTGACGTTTTCAAAACAGCACAATACGCCCAATGTTTTTCTTTTTTTTCTTTATTTGATAGGGTAGCTCAAGATGGACAGGAAAGTGGCTACTTGAACAGACTTGAATTTATGGCTGCTGAAGTAATGATTCAGCCATGGACATGGAGCACCAGTTCCAACATGTTCCACCTACGTCCAAGTACATCTGTAAACAAATGCATCCGTAATTTCCTAACATAACCTAATTCGGTTTACTAATTTTAAACTGCAAATAATAACAGGAGGTGTGCTCATGTGAGTGACGTAACATATGACAGAAGCTAAAGCTTCCTCACTTATTGACTAAATGACAGCTTAATTAGCCTATAATGAATAACGATATGTTGGCACTGAATGGCAGATCTGCTACTGAACTCAGTGTAATGTGATGCTGCCAGTACTATAGCTATGTAAGGGTAGCTAGTGAAGTGCCTATAAATGTTATTTAACACAAGTCATTAACCCTTTGGGGCCCACCACGCACCACTATTCAGATATACCATTGTTTGATTTTTTTTGCTAATTGTGAAGTCTTTTTAATGGTATGAGTGTGTTTATATCCCCAAAATCAAAACAGTGCAACGATACAGCATGTTCCCGTACATATATGTAGGTACTGGACAAGAAGATAAGAAATTATGGAAGAAGGGAGTAACAATTATAGAGAACTTATACTGTAGGTATTTGTTAACTACTGGACATGTATTCTGTTATTACAGAGAATGTATGACCTACTGAGAAATAATCTCTGTCCTCTAACCCCAAACAGTAGAGGATGACAGCCACTCACCTAGAGCCAGGGTCTTCTTGAGGTTTCTGCCTGTTAAAAGGAAGTTTATCCTTGCCACTGTTGCAAAAGTGCTTGCTCATGGAGGGAATTGTTGGGCCTCTGTTGATCATTTTATAAGGAGAAAAACTTAATTAGTCCCAATCATTTGCACGCTGAATTGTTGCTTTATTTGTTGCTCTGTTTTGTTGTCAGCATAACGTGAGTCGATCAGTTCAGTCCTCTCTTAAGGCAGGCACAACCACCCTCCATAAGAAAGGAGAAGTCGATAGGCCACCTGATTGGGCGGGGGCAGTGCAAAGACACTGATACAGGTCTAATATGTTCCTGTTTTTTACGTCTACGTAGGAGTCTGGCATATTGTACAGCATGTGCACAGCATATTG